TATAAAAACAGTTTAATTTTACCATTTTATACTTATGTAATAAATTTAATTGATTTCATAAATAATTTCTTTTATTTATATAAATAAACTATTAAATTATACTTATCACAGCTAATTTAATGACATTGTTATTATTTATCTCAACTACAGACAAATTATTTTTTAAAAATACTTGGTTAGCTTTTCATCAGTATTTAGGATTCTGAATTTTTCTAAATTATTAATCAAAACTGATCTTAATTACTAAAATGCTTGATCAATATGAATATTTTAGAAAAAAACTTGATATATTAGTAAATCAAACAAACTTATTGAAATCACTCATTTAATCCTTTATTTAACAGGATGTTTTATGCAATACAGTGTATTTTTCCTAATTACCAACAACTTCATCTAAATTAAAATTATATTGACAATAAATGTTTTTATCTTTGCTTAACACTGTCTTTCTTTACATAATTATTGATAATAATCTTTATTTCTTTTTAAGTAGTTAAAAACTGACATATGATATAGTATGTATTTTTGAAATAACATATATAAAAACTTAAATGGTTATGTAAGTAATTTGAAGTCATGATATATTTATGAAGGTGATTAGCTTGATGCCTAATGAAATCAGATCAGGATGACCAAACCTTGTTACAATAGGAGTCGTGTATTATCTATCAGAATGATGTGAGAGCCTCATTCTCTATTGGAATGGTTTGTACTTAAAATACTAAAGTTATCACTGTTCCATAGTAAATGTCACTGTTAGTTTTTGACTGACTATGTAAACATTCATTTATTCCTTTGATTTTATGAGCAGAGCCTTGAACTGAAAGCTAACTGAAAGCTAAGGATAAGTTGTGAGTTATGCTTACAATCCGTGTGTATACCACACTAAATAAGTCAAAAAATTTACAAAAATATTACATATGTGTAAGTAGAATGTATGAATTTATGAAAAGAAATTGTATAAGTATATGTTGGACATTTGGCTCTGTTGAAGTATGTCCTTCAGCAGAGCCAAATGTTCTTCAACATAATGAAGGAAAATATCTTTTTTATGGACTTTGATAGAATGTTACCACAGTTTATGTTCAACAGGCATTATCTAATCTCCTTTCCCATTTGCCTTGACTGTCATATGGGTAGGGTTAATTTTTGTTCACAGGATATTTCGAGTTTACAGATGAATCCAAAATTGATAGTGGCATGGATGCTGGCATTTATGGGGGAATGGTCTGGTAGGGGGTTTTTTCCCCAACTGGGTAAGTTTTCCACTATGTTTTGAGTAAAGGTGCTAACTACATAGGCTGTTTTTCTTTTTCAATCTCTGATGGTCCATAAAAAAAATACAAGTGTAAATAACAAAATGAATTTATTACCAAAAGTTAGGTACAAACATGGTTACTTTTCAACATAATCACCGTGAAAATTGAGGCATTTGTCATATCTGTGGACGAGCTTTTCCATCCCCTTGTCATAGAATGTTGTTACCAACGACTTGAGATGGACCCTAACATTGTTTTGAAGATCGTCATTAATCTTGAACCTCTGCCCTGCTAGCCACTTTTTCTGTTCAGAAAAGAGGTGGAAGTCACTTGGCACTAAATTAGGGCTATATGCTTGGTGTTTAAAGATGGTGAAGACTTTCACTCAGCTTGGAACTTTTTAAAATTTGAAGACTTCCACCTCTTTCCTGAACTGAAAACGTGGCTAGCAGAGCAGAGGTTTCAGACTAATGATGATCTTCAAAACAATGTTGTTAAGGCCATCTCATCTCAATTCACTGATGGCAACCAGTGAATTGAATATGACAAGGGGATGGAAAAGCTTGTCCACAGATATGACAAATTCCTCAATCTTCATGATAATTATGTCAAAAAGTAACCTTGCTTGTACCTAACTTTTGGTAATAAATTCATTTTGTTATTTACACTTCTTTGTTTTATGGACCATCAGAGCTTGAAAAACAATTGCCCTTGCATTAATTGGTGTGTTTGCACTATTTTGTGTAAAGGTCTTTTTAATACAATTATCTACATTGTTTCAGATAGACAGGCTTGTCTTAAAGGAACTTGATTCCTGTCAGGTTACTTTAGCACTTGCTTGGGAGTGCTGTTTGAACTATATTGAGCTGGCTACCCATAATGGAGTCTTTCTCTTGTAAGTGCAGGAGTGAGGATATCACTGGCAATATAAGTACTGATTCATCAGCCAAACAGAGAGCTTTACATGTCTTTGTGGAGCCTGAACCTGGAGTAGAACAAGCTCTTGATATTTCCTATACTACTTTTTCTACAACTGCCAAAGATTGGACTACCTTCTAACTATTCAAAACATTGGAGATCTAATCCTAGTTTAAAGCAGAGCAAGACATTTCTGCCTAGCCTGCTCTCTGGACAAACTAAAGATTTCTTATCTTTTAACAGGAATCATGTTTGCCTTTTGGTCAATGTTATGAGTGGTTTTGGTCACTTTTCTAAATGTCTGCACCAACTGAAACTTTTCTCCTCAGCTGTTTGCTGCTTTTGTTTTGTGGATCTGCTCAGAAGACTCCTCTCTATCTCATTTATAAGTGTACAGATCTTTGCTCAGATAGATTTGTCTATCTGGGTTTCCCTTTTTTAAGCCCTAATGTTGTACCTCAGCTTTCCTTCAGAAGTCTACTGTCTTTTATTAAACAAACCAGACTTCTGAAGTAATTTCCTGTGAGGTGCATAAAGGTTTATTTGGCCTGCTGGCCCCTACCAGTACAATAAGCAATAAGTATATGGAATCTACAGCAAGGGTCTAGAAGAGCTATAGTTTAGCACAATGAGATCAGATGATAATATTCCTATATAACAGATAGAAAATTGAATCTAAACCTCAGTCCAAATTATTAATTAATTTTTATTTAATTAATATATTTTTCTGAAATGATAATTTTGCTTGTTCCTAGTGAAAAGCCTCCAACTTTTAGATGTATATTAGGTTTATAATTCAAATTTCCAAGTATACTAAGAATGATTAAATATGAAAAAGATAATTGTTTCATTGTTTAAACTCAACTGTTTAAAAGTTTCACAATAAAAATTGTTATTGATAACTATCACTTATGAAAAAGATAATTCATTGACTAAAATCATGAGTGATTTTGAAACTTTAACAAACATTTCAGCATAAATTTTTCAAATTTTTTTAACAATTAAATAATTGCTATTAAAATACAAATAATTCACATAATATTTTGCAGATTTTCTTCATTACAAATACTGAATTATTTCATAGTAATCTAATTGAATTGCAACAAATCATTGCAATGTTTAACTTCAGATCTTCCAAGTCTCAATTAATTGTGTTATGCTTAATTCACTTATTGGATATACTTGGTTATCCAATCATCATCATACATTTGATCAATAAAGCTTAATGTTTCATTTATTTAATATCAATAAATCTCAAGATTGAGTTGAAACTATTCATTTGAATTTCTGTTTACCATGAAAAATCTATTTTTTCAGTAAAAAACAAACAAAACAATGATGATAATAGGATTTCAAATAAATTTTAGATATCAAATACTATAATTTTGTTTAATCAGAAAAATAGAATATTAAAAATATAAAATAAAAACAAATGCTTTTAATGTAAGATCCTTCTAAACACCTTTATCTGTGCATAAATTATTTTGTGTAAATTATCATCTGATTTATATATAGTTTATAGTTATAGATACTAAAGCAGAGAGATATGGAAATATATAAAAATAAAGAATAAATTTATTTCTTGATAGAATCTAAGTATTATGGCAAACAAATGACAAAGATTCTGTTTGATGAATATCTTTTTGTTATTTATTGGGTTGTTCGGAAAGTAATTTCGTTTTTTTACCACTAGAAGGATTAGTCGTATTTTCTCGCCATTTTCATTCTAAACCGTATTATCATTATATATTTTGACAGTTTATTTGTAAAAAATTTTGTTTGATTTTGTGCAATTGTTTATTTTTTGTGTCCCATCAAATATGGAAGATCAAAAGCAGCATTTTTGGCATATTTTGCTCTTTTATTACTGAAAAGGTAAGAATGCTGTTCAAGCGAGAAAAAAATCGTGTGACATGTATGGAGAAGATGTATTGACAGAACGATAGTGTCAAAACTGGTTTACAAAATTTCGTTCTGGCAATTTCAATATTGAAGATGCACCACATTCTGGGTGGCCAGTTGAAGCCTGAAAAAATTAAAGGTACTGATTAAAGCAAACTGCAGAATAACAACACATGAAATCACTAAGAGATTAAATTTGTCAAATTGAACTGTTTATGATTACTTGAAACAAATTGGTTTCATTTCAAAGCTTAATATATATGGGTTCCACATGTTCTTAAAGAGAGATGCTCTCTTTGGTGGAATTTTAAGAAAATTTTTTTGGAGCTTTTTCCAGACAATTTAACAACTGATTCGAGTAAACAAATTGAGTAATATCATCAAATGGAAAAGGCGGCCAGAATTGATCAACAAAACATGTGTAGTGTTTTACCACGATAATGTCAAATTTCACACAAGTTTGGTAACTCGTCAGAAACTGTTATAACTTAGATGAGATGTGCTATCAAACCAACCATATTTGCCAGATCGAGCACACTCAGATTATTACTTCTTCTGGTCTATACAAATTTTTTTAAACTGTAAGACATTTACTTGAAATGACAATGTCAAAAATCACTTGGATCAGTTTTTTGTAAGCAACAATCAAAACTTTTATGAATGTGAAATCATGCTACTACCAGAAATGATGACAACAGGTATTTGACCAAAATGGTCGATATATAATTCAATAAAATATTTATTTATTATAAAAATATTGTTTTTTTTCCATGGAAAAAACGAAATTACTTTCCAAGCAACCCAATAGTACTTTTATCAAATAAAACTTTTAGATTCTATTTTGCTGGAACTGCTGAAAATTCAAAATTTTACAGTAGAATAATAATTAAAACAAAAAAATAAATTATGAATAACACTTACCAAATACAGCCCATCCAAATCCTAATAATGAAATCACAAACTTTATAATAAAAAGTGCAGTTGAAGCTGGTAAAATAGCACTGAGAATAACACAAAAAATCAGGCTTATACATGGTGCCAATAGGCAATATCCTAACACACACACACTTTGAAAAATAGATCTGTAAAATAACAATTCATTTCATTAATTATATATTGTATAAAGTGATTTACATATAACATGATTTAATTAAAATTGAAGACAGAGTCTGTTGAAAAAGGAGTCACCATTTATGCACTTTCACAGTTTCAGAATATAATATTTGACAACCAACCTTTCTTTGTATGCTACTTTGCCATTAAACTTAAAAAAAAGTTTTTAAATTTTAAACAAAGAAAGGTTGGTCAGAAAAATTTTATTCCGGAACAGTAAAAGCGAATAAATGGTGACTCTTTTTTCAACAGATTGTATCTTCAATTTTAATTTTAAAGAAAAAATGTATATATATAATAGATTATTCAGCATACAAACAGCATATTATTTTGATAGTGTGTTATTTGTCCATTTTTCCAATGTTATTTGAATTAACATGAAAAATATTTTTATCATAGTGTTTTATGGTTTTCTTGTAGTTCTATTCTTCCTCTACAACTATTGTTTATCATTTTTGAAACTTGCTTAAATTTTACATCTTTTCAGACATGACAATGGAGTGCCAAGTAAACAAAAATGAGATTTTCAACATTTGATTCTCTTCACTTTCAATCAAATAAAGTTTCCAAAGCTGCTCAAGACATTTGTACTGTGTATGGAGAAAGTGTTACTACTGAAAGAACTACACAGAAAAGGTTTCAAGCTCCAAAGCGGAAAGAATCAGAGCTAACATACAAGACAATGTTTGTGTTTAGTGAAATTAGGAAGGGCTAATTCACTATGAAATGCTTGAAAACAACAACGTAGTTAATGCAGAGCTTTACATTCAGCAAATGTACTGGCTGAATGAGGCAATCCAGCTGAAATGACCAGATTGGCAACACAGAGTACTTCTTCAATATGACAATGCTCACCTCCATGTTGTTATTTTGACCAAAAATGCTATTTTAGAGCTTGGTTTGCTCTAGAATAGCATTTTTGGTCAAATTGTTTGCTCTCCAACAATATTTGAGGCATTTCATTCAACAATGAGGTAAAGCTGAAAACATGGCTTTGTGAATTTTTTGAGTCAAGACTTGATGATTCCTGCTGTCAAGGCATTTGACAAGCTACTGGAACATTGATGAGACGTTTCAAACAATGAAGAAGAATATATTACTGACTGATTTCTTAAAACTATTGATGAAAAATAAAGATTAAAATACATGGAAAAAATGAACAAATTTATCTGACAACCCAACAATATGTAATTGATGATATATAGGCCTATATTCATAGAAAAATTTCTTATTACATTATGTATGTGTATTATTACAGTATATACGTGTTTTAAAAAATTAACTAAAAAAGGTAATGAAACATTTCTGGCTACTTATCAACTACTTATTCTAATTACCATGTACTTATCTAACTATTTATTCTACTTATCAGAAGAAAATATTATGTAAGTATCCTGATGAATGAGTGAAATGAAAAAACATTTGTATTCAGTTAATAAAGCTAGTATAAAAGCTGCTGTAATTACAAGTTTAAATATTTTAACATAGATCAGAGGTAAAGCACCTATGATCCCATGTGATGTTTGGTAACTTCTAGTGCAGTCTGATAAAACATAAAATGATAAAATTTATGACAGCATAACTTATTAGTTATGAAAATATATTTTCCATTCTCTTTTTTTAATAAAGACATCTATTGTATTTACTCAGATATAAGACAATCTTGTGTATAGGACAAGGTGTGACTTTAAAGATCACAATAAAGAAAATTAGATTCAGTAATACAATTATAATTTTATTTCGTATAATCACAAGTAAAATATCAAATAATTATGTTTATTTATAAATGNCATCTATTGTATTTACTCAGATATAAGACAATCTTGTGTATAGGACAAGGTGTGACTTTAAAGATCACAATAAAGAAAATTAGATTCAGTAATACAATTATAATTTTATTTCGTATAATCACAAGTAAAATATCAAATAATTATGTTTATTTATAAATGCACACATTGTCCTGCAAAAATTACTGGCATTTTAAACTTTAATGAAAAATTTTGTAAAATCAACAACATAATTTGTTCATGTAAAGCTGGACAATTGAGAACCTTTTTTCTCGCTAATTTTTAACAGTCGAATCCACTCTCTGTCAATTACACTTATGAGTTTCTTCATATTCTGATTTCCAAATAATCATCTGTTTTCACATGGAAATGGATTAAATCTTATATCAGGTTCTTGTGTGATTTTGGAATTTCAATCTGGAATTCAATTCATAAGCTTTGTTTCTCCTATTACTATTTATCTTTACTTCCGACAATACACAATAACAATTCAAATGACCCAGATAAAATACTTATATTTTTAAATACCAGAGGGTAAAAAATGTAAATATACGGTTCACAAAAATTATTTGCAAAAATGCAAAAAATCTTTCGCTTGCGCATATAAGACAACCTAAGAATTTGAAGCTGTGATAAATGAATAAAAACCTTGTTTTATATCCGAGTAAATATGGTAATTAAGAACAATTTATAAATGTTATTGGTGCATGTATACACTTATGCAAACTGCAATATACCATACATCCTAAAAGTTTCTTCTGAAATAGATCATGAAAGTTCTCCACTTCTAACATAATGTATATCCTCTAAAATGGCAATAGAACAACTCCATGTGATATATCTACCAATACATTACCAACCTTAAAACAAGGAGCCATTTCTTTTTAACTGTAAAAACATTTCTAAGAAGATATCAGCAATCTTGTAAGGAACCAAGTCCGAGCGTTATTTTTTAGTTATTTTTTATTTTGCTTTTTATTCTATTTTGTTTGGAGCTTATGTTTTGTTAGGACAAAGGTTTCCTCACCATTCACCTTAGAAACTTAAAAATAGAAGAAAGAGAACCAACTCACCAACCAAAAAAAAATAGCGCTGTAGAAAAACTCGCACACACACGTGCGCTCCTGAGCGGAAAAAAGTAAGAAAGTAAGTCCGCACTGAGAAAGAGGGAGGAGACCCCACAAGCAGAACTTAAGAACTTGCTAAACCTTAAAGAATAAAACATCCTGAAAAATTGTAGAAAAAAAAAAAATAAATAAATAACGTAAAAGGTTAGCGATAATTGTCGGGAAATAGGCTGCCAGGCAGAAAGGAAAAGTTTACTGTTAGCGATAAGTATGTAAATGAGGGGAGTGATCTCAGTCAGAATTGTGACGTCACCTCATAGTATAAAGTCCGAACCTCAAGTGAAGATGACCGAGGTGAGCTTCTGTTAGCAATGAGCGTGGTGAGCTTTGTAGCAGCAAACAACAAGAGATGTCTGATAGCAATAAAGTGGTTCCAAGGCAATTTTGAAGTTATTCGATTTGTGGATCAAAGATTAGAGAAAGTCTTGAAAGTTGAAGAAAAAGGTTCCTAGTATACTGAGGTGACAATTAGGACCTTAGTTCATAAGAATTGTTGTACATAAGTTAAGTCTTTGAAATTTTTGTCGAGTTCCAAAGGGGAATAGATTTAAGTTAGCAAATAGATTGATTTGAATTTTGTCGGGTTAATTATTATTGATTTTTTTCTTTGAATAAATTTGTTGTTGATTGTTACTAATTTTTGTACATAGTCGTTATTAGAATTATTAAATATTGAATTTGATTTTGACTAACTTTGTCATTATTTAATTCGGTGCACGCTTAAAGTCCAGGCTTGGCACATTAACGTGAATCTGCGTAAAGTACTCATTAGGTAACGGCTATTTCCAGCACACAGTCGTGTCACTAATCGTTGTAGAAGTCAAAAATTCACTTAGTACTTTATAATCTCAAGAAACAATCTATTTAGAATGGTCTTTTAGAATTTTTAAACATCTTCAAACTCATTGTTTCTCTGAAACTCTGCAAATGGATAATATAATGAATAACTCTCATTTATTTTTCTCTAACACAAAATCACTTTTAAATCCTAAATCTCTCCTATAATATAAATACATCTCTTCTTTTAACTCTGGTTTCCTATCTACTATTGGAGGCCTCCCATTTCTCTGATAAATTTAAAATTTATTAGAGACATAGAAGAATCATTCTTGTTCACCATTTCATAATTTAAGTTTGCTCCATAAATGTACACTTGTTCCATCATCCTTATGCTAGTTGTATCCTTTTGCTTAAGCAGTAAATTAGTGTTCTTGTAATCCACTTTCAAATGAGCTATCTGGCATTGTAGACCAGCATTGTGAAAATGTCACAATGCCAGACTGAAATTTTTAATCATCTTTTAATTTTAAAAAATCACATAGAAGTTCATATATAGTTAATTGGGACTTCCAGTTCCTAAGCTTTCCATATCTGGTCTTGATTTTCATCTATCTAACTCTGTTCTAGAGATTAACAAAGAAGGATGGACAGAGAGATGGATAAAATTGGGGCTATATAGGTCTGCAATTTAAAAATTGCAGCTCATAGCTTCACATGCCTCTCTCCAGACTTGTTCCTAACCTTCCTCTTCTTACATTATTCCAATGTTCTGCCCTCCTAGTCTCTCAGATTCTAATCATTAATCCTATATAATAATTGCTTCTTTCTTTACTCTCTTCTATTTTCACTACATACACTTCTGAGTGTCTTAGTCTTAGATCTGGGATCTTAGCTTTTTGTTTTGATGAGTTAAGATAAAGATTCCAAGTTAAGCATGAGTTCAAAACTTAGCTATTAAAGCACCAGAGTACATGATGAGGTTCGAAGGAGAGATTGAAAAGTAATATTGGATTAAGAAGACTGAGCTTAGAGTGAAGTATATAAAGAAATTGAAATACATCATTAAAAGACATATAGGAAAAAGAAACAAATCTGTCAGAAACAATAAGAAATAAAAAAACATTTTAATGACAAAGGAGAGTCCTAAAAACAAAAAGGATTTAGTGGGCATGAATAGATAGGAAACCAGAGATCTAAGAAGAGATGAATCATAAAAGAGATTTAGGGTATAAATATCATTTCGTGTTAGAGAAAAGTAAACACAGAGGGGTAAAAGTAACTCTCAGAGTTTTTGAAGAGCTTAAGAAAAAAAGAGAAAGAATGAGTTTGAAGATGTTCAAAAATTAGTTGTTGTAAACAGGTGTCTTGAGATTGCTGATGATGAAAAGTTTAATCTTCTCAGTTAAAAACAAATGGCTTCTTGATTTAAGATTTGGTGTATATTGAAAGATATTTTATTTCCTCGAAGTCAGAAATAGAAAGAGTTTAATTTTACTTGTTTTTTGGCTAAAAATTTTTTATTTTTAGTGTGTTAATATTTTATTTTGTTTGTTTTCTACATACATTTTTATAAAATTTTATAAAACAATTTCTGTCTTATTTACAATTCTGTAACAGAATATATTGAATTATTTAAATAGTAATAATAAATCAATTTTTAACAAACAAAAATCATTGTCACAATGTAAGGCTGCAATTTTTAATTGTATTTTTAATTTATTTAATTTAAAATATATGCTCTCCACTTCAAATGAATAATGTCTTGTTCCTGTATATCATACTTTTAATGTTAGCAATTGAGTTGTGCTGGTTATCTATCTAACTTCTTTCAGGGAAAATTTTTTAATTGAAATTTTGTGAGTGAATAATCACTGAAATCACTGTGATTTCTGTATAAAATCACTTACAGTGAAAACTTTGCAAAAATAATTTAATTTTGGCTTGCTTGAAGTTTCACAAATGCATACACAAAAAAGATGACCATTTCTTGAGAAAGAAAATAATAAATAAACAATAATTTCAAAGAATTACAATCAATTTGACTGTCCCAAAAATATAAAGGCATGAAACAAAATTAACTGAAACAATTGACGACATGTTAATGAATTATACTTAATGATAGCCTAATATCCAATGAAGCATCCTTTGGCTGAAATAAATTTTTAAATGTAGTCTGGCGTTGATTGTGTGAGTTTTTGGAGGAAAGATATGCTTATTTCTTCCGAGTGACAAATTATGGCATGTTTTAGTTACTCCACACTAATATATTGCTGTCCATTTGTGTAAACAGCTCTAGTTAGAATCCCCCAAATATTTTCCATTGAATTAAGATCAGGAAATAGAGCTGGCCAATTAATAATACACACCCCACTAGCTAAAAATCATTCATATGTAGAGTTTGTTGTGTCAATGGAAGCACTGTCCTGTTGAAAGAACCATTAATTACCAGCAATACACTCCACAAAAGACAGGAGATTGCTCGCTAGCATGTCTTGATAATCATTTGTTTTTGGATGTCTTTGTAAAAAAGCAAGTAGAGTCTTTTCTTGCCAACTAAAACCACTCCACCATGAGCCACCACCTTGTTGTCATTTGGAATACAGTCCTTCCTCTCTTCTCAAATCATGTCAGTAGTGGCTACAACCATCTGGACTATCAAGATTGGATTTCTTCTCTACACTCCAGTTAATCTGTTTCCAAGTGTCTGTCTGACTCATTTTTTCCTTGGCACAGAGTAAATATTTCTTTCTTTTGAGCATATTGATCTTCAAGTTTAATAAAGTTCACGATTACAGTGGATGACCAATTTAATTTTTTAGCAGTTGCTCTTTCAGTATAATTTTCTCCTTCATGAGCATTTTCTCTAATTCTGTTAAGAGTTTGTCTAAGCCTATTGTTAAATTAGTAATTATAACTAACTACAGTAATTTCTAGTAGTAACTGTTATGTTAATGTTGTCCTCTGTTATCTTAATATCAGCCTACCTTTATAATTTTAGGACAGTGAACTTTAAGCCAATTGTTAATAAATTATTATTATTTTTTAAAGGTTTACTAAACTAAAAACAAATAGGATAAGGAAAATTTTTCTGTATGAATGATTTTATATGGAAATCTATTAATGCCTTTATATTTATGGGATGCACCTTATATTGGAATCATGCATTATATGACTGATGTAATAGGTATTACATCACCATTATAAACAGTACAGATGGATTGTCAATTGTATATGCATCTGTTTACTCTAAAGATGTCTCAATGATAAATATGACTTTCTTACAAACAACTGAAGATACATTTTAAAAAATATAAAAATACCAAAATTGTGAAAATTGTTTTTGGACTGTCACTGGTGCGTTGAAACAATGGAAGAGGAAAACAAAAACAAAAATTTTTTGTGCGTTTGTGATACTTTTATATTTTTTAAAATGTATATACCATCAGCCAAGTTTTAATTTTTATGTGAAGATACACTGTTGTACTCTGAGAAGCCAGTCGGTCACACCAACATATCACTTGCCATTTGAGTTGCAGTGATATGGCCATGAAATGATGTTGATACTGATGGATAAAAGAGAAGGGCTGTAGATCTAGCAACAAGATTCAGGTTAGCCTGCTAGGCAATCAGAATACCTACGATATCTTCCAAACTGAGCATGTCTAGGGAACATTGGAATATTAGTTGTCACAGATCATTGGTGATCTTGAGTTACAGAATGCATGAAAAAATCTTTCACGTGGAAGCATAAAAACTTTGAAAAACTAGAATATAAGTTGCACCATTTGCATTTACTGTTATGAAATAATTCAGTATATGACATTCTTTCTATTATTTTACAATTATGATTTAATTTTATTTTACAAAACTAGGTAATAGTTTATTTCATTTTCTCAACATTATTTTAATAAATTTGTTATGTTAATATTGAATTTTTAGTCCTCTTGAAGTGTGTTTTGTGTGAGTTGAAATTAATAAGAAAAAATTTTTTTTAAATAATAAATTTTAAAATGCTATACAGTAAAACCTGTTATAAACTGAAATCTTAATAAAACAGAAACCTGCCTAAATGGGAAAAATTCTTCAGAATGTAACAATTTTTGGTGTTAAAAAAACTTGTTCAAAATGGAAATGTGCCAACCCAAACAAAATATTCAGTACCATGTGAGTCCAGTTTAGACAGGTTTTACTGTATAAATATTTATTGATTCTTACTTGAAATCATCAATTCCTAATATATATTTTAAAATAAAAATCTTTTCTTCTAATACTTACAATGTTCCACCCAAAAATTTTGAATTAATAGTAACTATAAATGCACCACACCATACAATTGTGAAAATTTCAGCAAACTGCATTCCACTTTCATTTGTATCTTCTATTGTTGAACCATGAAGCATTCTAAAATATATTAAAAAATATTCTATTATGTAGAAAGTTTTATTAAGTTGCTTTATATATAATATATATACACTTAGATTCTATATTACACACACTATACACACTATAATATATATACATTTAGTATACACACATTCTAGAACATTTCTTCCCAGTCGTTCTAGAAAAAAATTGAAATATCTAAATTTCACCTTTAAAACCTGATATATGTAAGTTAGCCAATGCTGGTGGAGATTGGGGACTTAAAATCCCACTTCTCGGACACCAGTGGTGTTTGAGAAGCAAGTTCTCAGATTTTCGGGGAGGGAGATTAGGTTAATCCTGTGTCAGGAAAGCTAGGGTCATCCATGTGTGGGTAGTGGTGGCAGAGACAGAGATGACAAGTGTTTTATAAAGAAAACCATTTATTGTATCAGATGGTAACTTACATAACAACTATACATTCAATGTCACAACAATCAGTGAGGATCACATTGACGGAGTTCAGTTCCTTGTATGGAGATTCTCTTGTGGCATACGTTGATGTCATGATGACTAAAGAACCAAGTCCTGTTGGGATCACTTGGAGATGAACAGTGGGGGTAGTGTTAGGAGAGCGATAGGTAGAGAGTTGTGATGCCACAAATAGTGATTTTGCCAAATACCAAATACCAAATATTCGGCTACGCTCTTGGCCAAAGCGCCGAATATTCGACGGCCGAATGTTTGGCAAAATATGTGTACATTTCGCGGGTGACAGGTTACGACCTGTCCCATTGTGGTGGGTGCGATAGCAACACCATGGGCACATTTGTTTTATTTATGAGTAGATCGTGTCACGACATGCATTATTTGTTCATTGTTACATCAAATTGTGTTACCAATAGTCCTTATTACTAAGAAATATCATTGTTTATACCACTTTATATGAAAACTGTTTGCCTAGATCAGATGGCAGACCTTTACAAGTGGTGATCAGCAAACGCAAAACAGTATCCAAGCCTGATAGAATTCGCTAAGATTTATCTATTGTCTCCCGGTAGTAGTGTATATAGTGAGAGGCTATTTTCAGAAGCAGGTATAGTTTATGAGGAAAAGTGCAATCATTTGCTATTGTGAGGCTCTGGACGGGTCCAAACCCTCACTAAAATTCGTGTTAAAATAATTTTTTTTGAGAAAAAAAAAATAGTACAGGTAACCCCCGTATAACACGGCACTTCTATAGCACGGATTCGCTCTAACACGGTTCGAGAATTGGTACCATCCCCCGTATAACACGGTACTTTTATAGCACGGATTCACTCTGACACGGTTCGAGAATTGGGTAAAACCCTCGTACAACAGGAAATGTAATAAATTTTTACATACTTAAGTAATAATAGTTCACGAAAATTATTATTTTCGTGAACTATTAGTACTTAAGTATGTAAATTTTCTCTTCTCGCCTTCTGTCGATACACGTGGTCCTTCTCGAAACTTGTTTCAATGTTGCCAGATCGCGACGCTTCTGCTTCTGATGTTGCCGAATGTTTTTCCCTTATTCCATACTTGCTTTATTCTTCATAAGTGCTTAGCACCATATAAGGAAATTTATAAAGACCTTTTAACTAGAAGCAAGCAATCTAAAATTACATACATTTTGCAAAAGGTAAAGCATGGATCTGAAGATAATGCAGAAAAATGCTCAGAGGATAAGGATAACTTGCCAAAAAGAAAACACTCTCGGTTAATTAATAGTGTTTTTAGTGATGACGAAGAAAACATTGTTTAATTTATATTAATATTTATCACTTAAAAAATTTTAATGAAAATATTTATCTTAATTATGAAAATATACTAGCATGTTTTTTAATTTTTGGAACCTAACCCTCCTTTTCATATTAGTTCTTTGTTTCGTATAACATGGATTCGCATAACACGGCAATTTTTTGAAACGTAACTACCGTGTTATACGGGGGTTACCTGTAGTTAGAAATAAATTTTTTATATGAAAACACGATGCCTACTTTTAAACAATAGAAGAATGTAAGTCCATCGACCATTTCTGGTTGGATATCAAATTAAACTTCGATTTTGACCTCTCCATGCCCCCAATAGGTTTCGAATTGTCATCAGGTGACAAGGAGAGACCAATTGGAAAGGGGAATCTGAAGAAAATGGATAAAACCCCGGAAATTCAAGGACACGACGGCTTCTTCTCCCAAAAGTTCCGAGTGACGGATCTATTGTTGTGTGTGTGTGTCTCGCACCCATCTTCGTCTCCATCTCCCGACCTCGGATCAACATCTTTCTATCAACGGAAGTTGACCGCATCGTCAAGATGTGATGGAATTGTTCATTCACGAACAAGGGACACTCCTTCAAAATGGGACTATCTTGGAAAGGAGAGGAAGACCCAGAGGCTGCAGCTGCCGCAGAACTTCCAAGATTGTGGGAAATCTTGTAAGCTTCTTTCATGTTTAATAAATGGGTTGTGTTATTTGTAAATGAGGCATCTATCTCTGACTCAACTGCTTCCACATGTCATTGATTGTTACCGCTCGGCAGTCCAGACGGTAAGGGAGACGATGACAATATATATCACATATTATCATTCATTTAGTTTTTTAAATTTCTCCTCCCCTAAGCCCCCATACTATCAACAAATACTGAAAAAATTGTTTTCACTCATCATAACTTATCACTGATAGATTTTAAGTATTAAATGTAATAATTTGTGATTAAAATAAATACGTTTTTGATTAATATGTGCATTTTTTTTTCATGATTTGGTATTCGGTATTCGGCTGAATACTGAATATTAAAAAAAGTAGCCAAATAGGCCAAATACTGAATAGTAGCCGAATATTCGTGGCATCTCTATTGGAGAGTTGTCCAAGTCCCTATTGCACAACAAAAACTTCAGGTATCCAAAACTGTACTGGGTGGAGGATCTCTCCAGCACGTGAAAACACAGTGTCAGCATTATCCAACATTAACTGACTGAATGCATTGTGTCCTTGATTGACGAGAATTATATCAATCTCCGTCTTTTTTTATCAGCCATTCTGATTGGTTGATCTCCCTCATCTGTGCTTTCAGAGTGGCTGGTCCCCCATTACTAAGTGTAACAGGACTCCTACCTGGAGCATAGGAGAGGCTAAACTCAAAGCTGAACTCAATCTTTGATCAGAAATGGACAACATTCCTTTTACATTTTATGACTCTGCACCGTGGTTTAATATAAACAAAGGGTTTCCAACTATAAACATTTTTTCTTTTTAAACAATTGAATTTGAATTTTTCTCTAATTACTGATTTTCACAAATTTCACAATGGTTTGGACCTGTTTGTGATCTCATATATATATATTTATATTTTTATTATTATTTCTTTAAATTATTCAATGTGTGAGAACCTGAACTTAACAAACTTAATTTAACCAAAATAATAAAAGAAATTTATTTTATCAATATGATTTTGTTAGCAACAATATTTGTCAATTGTTATATCTGAGAGCATTTCTTCTTATGTGTTCTCAGTGTCAAAAGAGACGCTTTCCCACAAACTTTTAACCTACTGTCCATATTCTGCCATTTTAAATTAACAACTAATGCCTGTTTCAGGCAGTTGTTGCGAGTTCCCCAATGAGAGTCATCACCAGTTCCTCAACCAGAGTAGTCAAGTTTCTCCTTTAAAGGAATATCAATTTTTCCATCAACAGAATTTCATCTATTCCACCTATGACTATGTCTTCTCCTCTGACTTCAGATATTTCTTACTCCCTAAATGGATAAAGTACGCCTCATGCAAGAATATCACCTTCTCTGAATGAATATGATCATTGAACTTTCCCAAAAGTGTGTCAGAAACTCTCATATTTAAAAAGCTTCTTAAGGAACAATCAGAACAATCACCTAGCCTACAAATGGCCACTTCATAACCTCAGGTATTTATGTCAGCATGCAGTTTAATGTAAACTCTCTCTCTCTCATGCAAAATGCATCAGAGTCTATATCCAAATAACTTGCTACTGATAACATGTAGATCCTGTCAAATAAATGGGTATTTGGTTTGTTTACCTAGTCTCCAGGTGCTTTTTCTTCTGCCATGCTGTCTTGGAGACCTCCTCCATCCCGAATCCAATCGCCTAGTCACATGACCACTCACACAATCAAATATGAACAAAAATAAACAGCTATTGCAGCATTTGTGTTATTTCAAAGGATGCAGTAATGTTATCCTGACAAAATCATCAAAGAGGTGATGACCCTGTGTTCACAAATGTAAATTTAAGGAAAATATTTTAAGTTCTGAAATGATTGTTAAAAAAATTAAATCCACTAAAACAACCAGAAATTATAAAATAAATAAATTAATTAATTAATTAAGAAAACCATGATGTTTGTAAAGATATAATAAAAGAGTAACCACTTTATATAACAAATTATAATTTACAAATATTAGATTTATGTATAGTTCATTTTGTGAAGATGTAAGAAACAAATAAAACAGCAATACTGGTAGAAAGTGTGCAAATTATCAAAGTATACATCAAAGAGTCAAAAAATTATACAAAAATTTATTTTCATAAATTTATAATTACTTTTAATAAAAGCTTTTCATTTATCATGAATTTTGTAATAACTAGTTGATAGAAAAAGATAATCGTTTGAATATAGTCTTTCAACAACTAAGATATTCATTTTACATTTACTGGGAAATGTATATTAAAAAAAAAAAAAATGATTGTAAATATATACTAGCCAGAATCCATTAAATATTCAGTCTGATCAGAATATGACTTGCAAATTAGTTCAATGTCACTGTCATTAGAATTCTGAATAAATATTTTCATAAATGGTATTCATCTCTTCTTTCTTAACTTTGCAAAATTCACTTTTGAAAGAAATAAATATTTTTGAAAATATTTTTAAAATTTGAGAAATAAGTTTATTTAAAAAAATCAGATTTTTTTTATTTTAAATCAGTTTATAACTTTTTACATTTTGAATATCTCAATGAATAAAATTGTGAATATT